CCCAAGCAAGGTGATAATGCTACTAAGGTGCAAGGAGCTACTGGGTGTGAAAGAGAATGAAAAAGACTTTAGAAGAAACCAGAAACCCAATCCTAAACAGAAAATAAGTGATAAACCTATATTACTGCTCAAAAGGCTGGAAAGGAGTGTGGACAAAACAATAGGCAGAGCTATATATATATATATATATATATACAATGCATGCATACATATAATAGTATTATTATATGTATAATAATAATTTCTCATCTCAAATATTCAGATGCTGTGACTATAACAACCAAGATGAGGATACTAGTCCATATCCATATAAATCAGTGTATAATAATGAAAATTCCCAATCTTAAAAATTCAGACAAAAAATATCTATCAAGAATTTAACTGGCTAAAATAAAATAAAATAAACAAATTCCATTGTGAAATGTTAAATCTTCAAAGAGAAAATATTAAAACTTCTCATTGATTGAATGTTTTGTCATACAAAAACATTTCTCTAATTCCAGTAATGAAATTGTCTACTGTATGCCTTGAGGGCTGAAAAAAAAAATGATAAGGCTTCTCAATTACTACAAGGGAAAATCTGGTCAACCTTCCATTGAATAATCACTATTGTCAATAACATCCTGATTCAATCAATTACAATTGATTGATTTTATTGAGAACTTTAAATTGGTAAAAAAAAACTAAGAAGCTAAATATGTCAGTTTGGTTGTTGGTTAATTTAACAACATATCAATACATGTTGAGTTATTTAATGCTGACTTAGAGGACAAAATTCACAACAAATTAATAGATCAGCAAATATATTGTGTTCAGTGAGGTCAGAATTTGATTAAGCTGATTAATTTCATAAACAATCATTTTTATTTATTTCATGCTAAATATCTCTATAAAAGGCAGGATGTGTGTGTGTGTGTGTGTGTGTGTGTGTGTGTGTGTGTGTGTGTAACAAATGCACGGCTGCAATTTTTGACAGATTTGCACCAAAATTTACATGCACATGCTCCAAGTTAGTGGGAAGGCCAAGACCAACTTTGCATTTCCCAACTCCCATCGATAGTGGAAATAATCGATTTTTTCATGCTTCTACAGAAGTTTTCATGTAGTTTGCGGCCATTTTCTACTGGTCAGAGTGAGAGCCTATAGCTGGCTGCCATGAATAGGCAGGAAGATTCTATTGGCCAGCGTGAGAGCCAACAGCTGACTGACATGAATGTTAACTAGCATCCTAGCATGCAGAAAAAATCGATAGCTGCATTCGTCACAAGTGGAAAACATTTTAATCTCCAATTGGCTCATTCACTTGCTTAAACTCAACGTTGATTCTGATTCCGCAGAACTGGGTTGGGTGTGAAAAAGTATTTGTTGTTAACATTCTTTTTTCATTCGGTTTTTCCAGTTACGAGTCCTTTTTTAAAGCTGATCATTTTGTGTTCATTTTTGTTTAGTTTTTTCAACAGATTTAATGTTTGGTATAGAGCTTTGTCAGATTTTAGCAACATCAGCACGGCAAAAGGCACTCCTTTAAAGGCAAGGAAGGGCAAAAATATTTTAAGTCAAGTTTAACAATTGCTGTAGGAGTTTTTACGATTTTTGAATCAAGCACAGGCAACGTGCTGCTAGTAAGACATAAATGTGGTTTATACTGGTTGAAAAGGTAGACATAAGTCCAATTTACGCTAGAATAAAAAAGGTTGACATATGTCCAGTTTACATTCAAGTCAAAAATGTAAACATTGGTGCAGTTTACAGTTGAGACTGCAATGATGACATAGGTCCAATTTACACAGTCAAAACTCCCTGGTCCAGTTTAACTACACTTAAAAAGGTAGATAGGTATTGGTTAGGTGTCTGCCAGTATCTGCTTAGAAGATGTTCCTTTAGGGAAGGGAGTATCTCTCTGTAAGTGATGTAGTTCATGTATTCCAGGTCCTAATAAAAGTACAACAGTTTAGTTGTGTAATCAAATAAACATTTCTCAGAACAACTAGTGAATTGAAACAAAAAACGGTATTGTTTCTTTACACCACCCAAGCCAAGGCAGCCAAGTTAGAACTCTTTGGCATTTGAAGTGTGGCATGTGAAAATATCTTGATTTAACTCCTTTTCCCATTATACTTAGTATAAAAGATGAATAAAAAAAAAATATTTCAAGATTTATAATTACCAGATATGAATTTTGAAATATAACTTTCATGTTTAATACATAAGAATTAAAATCTTAATTTTAATTTTATGATTTTAGTGAAAGACTCGTGGTTGGCAGACAGATAAAAGATATTTTAAATCAAAAAGATTATACAGTAATGTCTACATCTTGCAATTCAAAAATATGAAAACAAAATCCAGTCAAGTTTCCCAGATTATTCCTAAGTACAGTTTGATCTTCATAAAAGAGATCAATATTTTGATCTTGGGTCAGGTAAAGCTAAGCCTAATAAATTAATAAGGTGTCTACTGTGATACAACAATTAGCAAACTAATCCTACAGACTATGTTTTACCAAAGTGAGTTAGTTCCTCACTGGGCACTTGACTATTGGAACCTTGTATTATACTAAGCTAAGATTAATGACCATCTACTCTTAGTTTACTTATGTCACTAAAGATGACCACATATGAAGTAGATAATTTTATTAAGTCCTTACAGATATCAGGAGGTTTTGAATATGATTTTTTAAAGTTGTTTTTTTCCAAATTATTATTGTTATCAGTTATTGATAAAAGTTGTTGGTGAGCCGAGTACTAATTCCAACCTAGTATGCTGTAATCACAGTGTTGCATTGTGTGTCAACACTGGCACAATTTTCTAAGACCCAGAGCTGTTTCATAGACTGAATGATTGACAGACCATTTACTTAGGTTTCTTTTTCTCATTTTATTTCAGGTGGAAGGCAGAGTAATATTAGTATTGTTTCTTGGAGGAAGTGAGAAAGAGAGGAAGATAGGGAGACCAGATGTCAACAAGTTGACCAACTATTCATCACCATGTGGTGGCTTGTTATGCTAAGGCAGTGGTTCTCAAATTTTTTTTTTCTCTGGGACACATTTTCAGACTGAAAATTTGCTCATGCCTTACCAAAGGGTAGTTCTGGTGAAAAGGCGCAAACAGCCTTACAGCAAAGAAAGTCCAGGGAGATGGTTAAAAGGAAATAATCATGGATTTGAAAACAGAACATTATCATTGATAACTCTCTCTTCCAATTTGCAGACCCTAGTTACTATATTCTTAATCTTACTTATTATAAAATGCAGATTGTGTGTGTGTGTGTGTGTCTGTACGTTTATATATTGGATCAGATTTTCTACATTTTTCAACCGATTTCAACAAAACTTCACAGGACTACGTAAAATTACCTTGTGGTGGTTCTAACAGCACCAAAAATTGGAAAAACACAATTGTTTTGCACAAAATCAATTTGAAAACACGATTAATCACTAGAATGAAAGGGGGACAACTCATGTCGAGTTATACTTATTATAAAACCCAGGTTGTTTTTGTGTGTGTGTGTTTGTTTATATATGGGTTTGGATTTCCTACATTTTTCAACCGATTTCAACAAAACTTCACTTTTTTTTCGGCAGGTAGTGTTTCTTATTGTCTTGCACACTTTTTCTTTATTTTTACATTCAGAATGCTTTAAAAATTCCATTTACAAGACAATTGTTTATAATAAAATTCTATTCAATCGATAAACTCATAATGATTGAAAACAATGTTTTTGTTTGAGTTTGGGTTTGAACAATTCGTAAAAAAAAAACCAAAAAAAAAACTAATTAAGACATGCATGTCCGTCAACCTTAATCTTTGTCAATTTTATTTTTCAGTCTTTATGATGGTCGATACTTGACCTATCTCTTACTGTTACATCCCCGGGCAAAGCCGGGTTCTACTGCTACTACTTGATATAATGCAAAAATATCACAATGATAAAATCAGTCAATAATTATTTATAACTATTTATACTGGGAATCATGCATGCAATTACAAGTAATCTATAATAATATTTTAAATTTTGAAATCATATTTATTTTTGGCATATGAATTTCTTAAAACAATTTCTAAATCTTTGATTGTCTTTCAATCATTCTGCCTCACCTGCTATCCTCTTCTGCCGCACCTATGAGGCATGCAGGAAGAAAACAACCAGAAGAAATTTAACAACCACCAGATGAGAAGTGAAAGGAAAACATCAAAGTTGTTCCCACATCAAGGAAAAAACTTCAACTGGTGTACTTGTTTTATTCTTTGCTGTTACCACGAACTTTGCAGTGAAAATTGTACCAAATTATTCTTTGAAAACTATTCAGGGAAGTATTTTCTTCTTTTCTTCATTTTATGTAATTATTCTTTTTTTGATGACTTTCTTATGCAGAATTATAATTTTTATTGTAAAAAGACATATTTCATTTTCATCGATAATTTACATACATGTTACAGTCCATTATTCAGTACACAATGCACTTTATTTGTTTAATTCATTCTATTTTAGTGTGTTAACAAATTTATCATCTGTATTAAAACTCGGCTCATGTTGTCTGTCTTTGTTGTGTGCCCATATAAATTAAAGTTTACCTCAAATATTTGTTTCAACTATATTTTTGTAGTTTTTTTTTTGCCTTATATAAAATCCTATAATGGGTCAATTGTTATCTATCCCCCTTATCCTCATAAGCTTCTCTTCCTCTTACAATTTTCCACAAAGACCGACAGATATTGTTCACTGTTCACACTCCTCCCAATCTTTTGAACAGAAGTAGAGGTTTATCCCTTGTTCCCTGTTTAAGATTAGGTTTCTTGTTCCTTCTAAAGTATTTTTCATTCTCTTTCACTCCCAGCAGCCCCTTGAGTCTTAGTGGTGTCATTGCCTTGCATGGGGTGAATTGATTAAAAAAAAAAAAAAATGAGCAAGTGTACTTGTCTGGATGAAAAAACATTCTGGATCAGTTAGTAAAAAAATCAGTGAAAACAACAATTAAAAGGGATTTCATCTTACTTACCCACTAATTATTAAGCTATCGTCAAATAGATAGATTTTCATGTGATGTAATCCAATAGTTTCATTGTAACGATCTGGTATGATCTTCTTCAGAATTCCACGTAGATCCGGCGTGTGAAATAGGGAGAGGCGGACATTCTGTGGGAAATTACATAGTACAGGTTGAAGGACAGTGCAAGAATTTTCTTCTCCTCGCTGGCCACGAGTGTAGTCCAACAGAATGTGCACTTCAAAATCTTTGTTTCCTTCTGCTAGAGATTTCTGACAACCTTCATTAATGGCATCAACCTAGTATAAAAATAAAAAATAAAAATTTAACTTTTGAGCAATTTAATTTTTTATCTGTGAAACTGCTTGAAAATATTAAAGTTCAAAAGGTGGGAAAAGAGTGACTTTCATTTTATTTTTCTTCATGGACATCCTAAGACATCCAGATTTCAATGCATTAAACCATGAACCTGTTTTTTTTTATATATATATATATATATATATATATATATATATATATATATATATATTCCTCATGATACCCTAATTTACATAAGTATCAACTTATATAAATATGGGTTGGTACCGAGCCATCAATATTTAAAAATTGAATCCAGAGACTTTGCCCGATTTTTAGTCAACCCATTAAAGTGAAACAGTCTTCCCAAGAATATACCAAAAAATAAAATTTGTCCTATTCTTTGTTTCAATACATTTTAACTAATGAATTTTGTGTTGTAGTATTCCATGTTTTTAAGCTTTAATATATAATTATTCATTCCTCACCACCCGCTATGTCAACTTATTGAGCTTAAAACTAGCCATCAAAATTTAAATTAATTTTTCATTTCACCTTTGAAAGATCTTTCCGATCCATTCTCTGGTGAAATAAATTATAACAAATGAATTTTGTGTTTTTCTTTAAATTAAATTATTCACCCTATTGAGCACTAGGATTTCATCCTCCTTGGGATTATCCATTTCTATTATAAGATTTTTGTTGCTTAAATATATATATATATTGAGTAACTGTTCTTGTAAGAATGTCTTATTAAAAAGTACATATTATAGAGATAATTTTGGGCCTGTCAGCCATATCGCATATGAGGACTGATTCCTGCCAGAGTGAGCAAATGAGATCTACAGATACAAAGATGATGATGGTGGTGCCAGTAAGTATCATGGGATGCATCAGAGCATGGACATGACACATAGAAGCCCTGGTCAACTATTGCAACTTGGAAGTCTTTGGCTGTAGCGATTCCTCAGGCTGCTGCTCAGGCCAGGCTGCCAAGAGAGTGGAATTACCCCAATTCAATGATATTCCCACTATAAATTCTTTCCACACAAGTCTATTTTGAAAATTAATTGGAATCCACTGATGTATTGCAAGACAAAGTCTTTTTCAGACCTGAAAATAACCAAAATATATATATATATATATATATATATATATATATATATATGAATAATATTATTATACCATTTTTATTATAATAGATTACAATAAAATTATTTTACATTGCTGCACAAAATCTTTCATGATTCGGAACTATAATCATTCTTCTTCGGATGATGGTAGATAACATATGATAAAAATGATTTATTTGGGAAATTTGAAAACAAATCGTTACCTCTTTTGAAAGTTAAAAAGTTGGGGAACAATCAATCCAACCATATGGCAGTGGATGCAGGACAATTCTTACATAGATGCAGAGAAGACGTAAAGCAATAGAGATGTGGTTCTATAGAAGAATGCTGAGAATTCCAGAGGATAGAGCATGTAAGCAACAAGGAAGTTTTAAAGAACATTGAAACAAAAAAGGACACATAAACTGGGAGTTAGTTGAAATTTCTGGACACATAATGAAAAAAGAGGGCTTGGAGAATTCAAAAGGACATATTGAAGACAAGAAGGACAGAGGAAAGCAGCAAATGATCTAACTAACAAGCTTGTGTAAATGGATGGCTGATTGATGAGCGGAAAGAATAGTAAAAAAAGCAAACATTACTAAGAGCTACAAAGAACAGGAAGACGTGGAGAGCCATGACCACCTCTGTCCTGAAGAGGCATGTTATTGTGTTATTTTGATGACTATCATCAATTGATTTATTATCTTTGGAATACATTGTACTGTTTTGATAGTAATATTGTATTTAAAATATGATAGGATAAATAGGAAATGTTTATAAATTTAACGTTTCATTTTTATTTAATCTTCATCAAAAAATGAAATATGGAGCAGAAAAGAAAATTCTGATATTTTCTTTTTTATTTTGTGTTGTTTGTTTTCCATTGGTTTCGTGTATTTGCCTCGTCAAGTAGTGTTCATGTTAATAATTTTTGTGTATTTGCGTATTATAATTCTAGTTAATCTATGCGGGATGTTTTGTGTGAGAATGAAAGAATTTAGGTTACACTCATTGTTGTTGTTAGACAAATTTATAAAAGTGTCTAAAATCAAAAAATTTATAAAAGTCTCTAAAATTGACAAATTTATAAAAGGGTCTAAAATCGACAAATTTATAAAAGGGTCTAAAAATCGACAAATTTATAAAAGTATTTAAAATATGTAAATTTTGCACAAACCAACTGCTTTAAAAACTAAGTTAAATTCTATAGTAACATTATTTGTAATGCATTTTTAGAGTAAATAATTTAAAATATACCTTTTAATAAATCTATGAATTGGGTTGGAAGTTATTCTACAATGTAAAATAGTTTTTGTAATCTTTAAATAATTAAAAGTAAAAAAATATCCAAGAAAAACTGACAACAATAAATAAGAAACCACTGTTTTAACAACTTATTCTCACAAAACATTATTTACATTATTCAAACTATTGTTCTCATCTTTGTCGTCATATTTATTACAATGTTTCGGCCATTGTATGCTTCGGCCTTCTTCAGGTGGTTGGAATGTTGAACTAAACCCTTTATTTCGCTCACTGGGGTAGACTGTTCTAGTTCAACGTGCCATGTTTTTAGGACAAATGGCACAGTGGATAAAGGCATTAGTTAGATCCAATGACAGGACCCAAAGAGTGTAAGTTCAATATCCAGTTAAGGCAGTGGAGAACTTTCAGAGGGAAATTAACAGGAGATAACTGATAACTGACATCCATTAAAAACATGGCATGTGGAACTAGAACAGTCTACCCCAGTGAGCTCATCCGCGATGTACTTCTCCCTCCTTCTCTTCCTGGCTGGCGAAAACGTGTCGGTTGGCAGCTGAGGACGTGGGTTAGCACAATCAAGGATGACCTAGCAGTACTATTGGGTCCACAAGTAGTTGGTCTTTGATGATGGAATCACGATTGGCTCGCCATTTCGTGAGACCTGGCTCAGGATCGGTGAGCATAGGCAGCGATGGTCCATGATGCTGTACTTGCTTGGGAGGAAGCCGGTTCAACCCGACCAGGGTGAAAACCGATACAAGTCAAAAGTTAAGTGAGTGAAATAAAGGGTTCAGTTTGACATTCCAACCACCTGAAGAAGGCCAGAACGTACAACGGCTGAAATGTTGTAATAAATATGGTGACAAAGATGAGGACAATAGTCCGAATAATGTAAATAATGTACATAATACCTCATCTCAGAAATATAGACAGTTATTCTTACAACTTACAAATGAGATAGTTCATTGTTTTGCCTAATGGCATAGAGTAATGCTTCCTGTAACCATAACAATGGAATATCTCATTAATAAGTCGGACAGATGAGGCTGCATGACCAATAAACAAAATGGCCAGCTTTTGTGCAGATAATGATAATAACAATGGAAAACTTACCAGTTATTTACACTATTTACAAGTGGATTATTGTCTTCATCTTAATAGTTGCTATCACAATGTTTCAGTCAGTGCCCTCCAGCATTCATCAATTACTATGATACCAAACTTAAGACCCAAGGCTTTAAGCCACTGAGCTCTTGTCTTTGAGTCAAGCAGTGTGTACTTGGACTCAGTGGAAACAGCGTGAGCAATAACTGAGCAGTACTAAAAATAAGAATTTGACAAGGCATCCCTAGACATGGGCAGTGAAATGAAAACAGTCTACATCCATAGATTAAATAAAGCGTTAAGTTTGGAATTCCCTGTAGGTTACCAGGATTGATATATGCCTGATGAAGGCCAGAAGGCACAAGACGTTAAACTCTGTGATAACAACAACAAAGATGAGGACAATAGTCTGCATGTAAATAGTGTAAATAATGGTAACTGCTCATTCCGGAAATTCAAACAGAAACTTACCAGTTCCTTTTCAAGAGCTCCTGTGCCAAGATACAATGAGGCCATCAAAATGCGTTTTCTGGCTTTTCGAGCTTTCACCTGAAGAAAAAGAGGGCAATAAACATTTCAAACAAATATAAGTGATCAAACATTTTAAAATAAAATTCTATATTTTTATGCAAATGAGAAAACTAATTTTTGATTTAGTTAAATTGTATGAATATTTCTTATAGCTTTTTTTTTTTTAGTACAGGTTGACTACTATTAATCCAACATAACTGGGACCTGAAGGATGCAGATAAGTGATTTTGCCAGATTACCGACAGAAAAAGTGTTGAGTACATCACTTTGAGCCAAAGACAAAGAGACAATGCACTCTTCCTCACCTGCTCCAGAGAAGGCCAAGGTCATTTCATCTGCAGGGAAGATGATGGCCTTAGTTTTTTTAGGATGTAAAAGGTATTGTGTTTATTGACTATCTTCAAAAGGGCCACACCATCAATGGAGAGCACTATGCCAACTTGCTGAGGCAGTTATGAAATGCTTTCAAGACCAAATGGCCAGGATTTTGTTTTATCAGGACAATGCCTTAGCATACAAACCCTTGGTTTCAATGGCTGCTGTGCATGACTGTTACTTTAAATTGGTTGATCATTCTCCCTATTCTCCTGATTTGGCTCCACCTGACTATCATCTGTTTTCAAACATAAGACACTTGGCTGAGAGCTAGTATCGCAGTGATGATGACATCATATCTGCTGTTGATGACTTTTTTGACCACTAAGATGAAAGCTTTTTCACCAATGGAATCCAAGCACAGAAACACAAATGGGATCCAAGCACTGAAACGTCAATGGGTTCCAAGGGGGACTATGTTGAAAAATAAACCTCATTTGGTCACATTCCATGACAGTATTTTGGTCGGCCTATGAACTTTTCAGCTGACCCTTATATCACACAAACTTCACACAGACAAGTTCTTTCATAAGTTTACCTTATTTGTTATGAACAACATATGTTTTCCCTTGACATCACAAGAAGCACTTCCTGCATGACAGCAGGTTATAATAAAAATGCACAAATGGTTAAGAGAAATGCCTTGCTAAGTGTTTAAAAAACAGCTGCCATGGCAGCAGCTAATGCTGCCAAACAGTACTAAGAGGTTCCTGCAGTGACCAGGGAAATCTGAAATTGCTCTTGCAGTGATGCTGATAGGTTTTTAGTGAGTGCCTGGGACCCATAGGTGGTGATTTGGATGCATCCCTGGGCCCCAACAAGAGTTTCTTAATAAATTTTTGTGTTAAACTACAGGGCTACAGACTAATGTTTTTTTTTTCAACATCAACCCCCAAAATAATTTTAATCCTGACAAATCATTTAAATTATCAGAAGAACTTTTTAAAAAGATTAAATTAATAAATTCAAAACAAAAATAGTATTTACACTTAACCACAGTTCAAATAAGAATTATATTTTTTTTGAGAATTATGACAGAACAAAGTTTTTAAATTGACAGAAGAAAAATTGTTTTATTTTTTTTTTTTTTTTCAATTGAATCAATAAATTTAAAACAGAAACAATATTTAAAGCAACAGTCTACAAACTTCAATAAGCTCAGGCTTGTCAAATAAATTACCCCTCACCAACCAAGAAAATTTCTGGTAAGGCAATATTGACGGCTATTTCATGATACTCATACATCCCACTGCCCAATGAAAGGAAAGTGAAAGAAGAAAAAGAAGTAGTAAAAAGTATTTGAAAAAATATATACAATGTATCACATTTCATGGGAAAATTTTGTTGTGCCCGTGGGATGCACAGATGGCAAAGTTACTACATTCTTTAAGATTTTATCCATCAAGAATACAGGGCACACACCTATCAACATCTCTGTTTTTGCGGAAATTCATGCCAGATTACTGTTTGCTGGATTGGTGATGGTCAACCTGTATACAAGTATTTCATAGATATATTATGATTTTTACCTATCCTGTCAAAATTACAAAATTTAAATCTCCCACCACTGCCAATTATTACTGCTGTATTTTTCTCTTTTAGAAAGTTTTTTTTTTTTTATATCTCCAGCTTCATAAATATTGTGAAATGGTTCACCACTGTTGTCGACAGTGCAAGGGAGATAATTAATAGACTAGAGGAGAGTCTTTGTTAATGTGTATGTAGGTATGTAAGTAAGTATTTCTTGATAGCAGTAATTCTTTTGACTCTCATTGTGAGAGTTTTAGGTGTCTGAAGCTTTAAGGTAAGAGACAGCAAATGAAATTCTTTTCAGCAGCTGGTCCAGTCCATTTGCCTGCTCTGCACAATCTGTCTTAACACTTTTTTTAAAGACAATAGAATTCATTCCCACCCCACTGAATTGTTCTTGATTTTGATTGGTTCCAGAAATGACTCATTTGACAATCCCTTTTTCTTCACCTACATTTAGGTTATGATAAACTTTTAGACCATTTTTATTTATCTCTATTTTTTATTATCTTTTTATTTCTTTATGGCAAACCAAAATGGTTTGCCATCTTTAGCTTTCTATTTTTTTTTATTTTTTCTATCATTACAAGATCCTAACAGGTGCTACTACCCCAGGTCAGAGGGAATCTGGGAACAACATCAATCAAGAGGTGGTTAGACGCTCCTCAAAACCGCCAATCTCCTGATCAGAGGCCTTACTGCCAGATGTAGTTTATCATCATACCCAGGACTGCATTAATAAGAAAGAAGCAAGAAGATAACTATTTGGTTTGCTGAGATAATTTTGTTTTTCTTAAAATGATTAAACTTGTCAAGTTTAGACAAAAAAAAAATCCTCTCCAAATTGAATCCTGTTTACACAATTTTCTCAAAAGCCAATAATGAAAGGCAAGTGTGATATGGAAAAGGAATTAAAAACATAAGTTTCTAAGTGAACCGTTTACAGAAAAGTATTTACATCATTAATGAGTAAGCAACAAAGTATATTTTTAGTAAGTAAACAGAGCAGAACGATCAAGATGAATTAAAAGACAAATGTTTATATTCAAAACAGAGCTGAAGATAAATATGGCTTATATGCACTATATCGGATTTTATGAAGCACAGAAATGTTTTCATGATGAAATTGGTATTAACCGATATCGGTTAAATTTTCAAGAGGTACTTATGTTAGTCATATATCAAATGAGAGTCTAATTCTAATATCTTACTAAAAAAAACATTTATAAGAACTTTCATTTGTAGGTGTCAGGTTTTATCAATCAACCTATGTGCAACATTGAACAAAGATTATAATAAAAATTTCAGATTAAATTTCAGCTAATACATCTATGCCTGGCTACTGACATTTTTTTTTTTCATCTTTACTGTTAGTTCATCAAATACAAAACCCAAGGGCCACTCAAAGTAGAGTGTTACTGAGTGGGATTGTAAAAGAAGAAGAAGGGGAAGTAAGATGGTATTCTGAGGATGAGTAGGATAGATATCGAATGAGACCAAGATTGTAGTTGTCAGGGTTTGATTAATTTGTTTTCTACAACTTATCAACTTTTTGCAGGTTATCTAAAGCCAGAAAATATTTTTAGATTGCAATAATTTTTTGGAGGACCAGGCATTCACAAGCAATTTAAGTTATGAACAGACTCAATGTTTCTTGACTACGGTTATCATATGAGAATTGGTGTTTCACAATATGGCTGTAAACCTGTAGTTGTTAAGGAAGCATTCTCTCAGGAGTCTGTTCCACAAAGTAACAATTCTGGGGAAGCAGCTGTCTGAGTGGAACTTGCTTTTTATCAAAGAATCATGAAGGGAATGTGGATGGTTTGCCATTGCGAACATGACGTGGTGGGTAGTAGATGTGAAGGTCCGAGCTAGTGGCACTAAAAAAAAAATGTAACTTGTCCAAGGATCTGCCATAGTAATAGTGATATAGCAGTGAAAGGATAGTGATGTTTCGTCTTTCATCATCCACAACGCCATATAAGCACTTTTGAGTTCTGTCTAGGTTGGACAGTGAGAACTGCACAACACCAGCCCAGATATGGCAACAATATTCCTTTCTTGGTCTGATCTGATGCTTGTAATGATAGAGCATAACAACAGGAGTCAGGTATTTTCTGGAGTGAAACAATGAACTGACCATTCTTTCAGCATCATTAGCGATGACACAAATATATGCATTCCATTTGAGTTTGGGTGTGATAGGTTCAAACTTAAACAGCAATTTATTCCTGAAACAGCTGAGAAAATTTTCTTTGTGTTGGGTCTTCTTACTCCAGGCAGTGAATCAAATAGTGATTCAAGATAATTCATAGAAAGCAAGATAAGGTATCTTCTTACTCTGGCAGAGTCAGATAAGGATTCATGATAATTCATTGATGCCAGAGAAAGCAATGAAATTTACAGGATCTCTTGCTGATATATCACACAAAAATATTCCAATCTCGAAGGTTTCATGTAAATATGTGAGCATCAAGCATAAGCAGATATCCAATGGGCTTATACAGATTTTATCACAATCCTGTTGATAAATCATCTTAAGATCACTCATGTTTTGGGAATTCCTTTGATGTTTACTCTGTACAAGACCCAAGAGTCACTCAATGTAGAAGGTTACAGAGTAAGAGGCACAGGACATGTGGGGAAAATAACGGTTAACCCTAGGTATGAACAGGTTAGAATTGTAAAAATCAAAAAAGCATCCTCTTGAGAGTCAGTTCCACAAAGCAATGGTTCATGGAAAGAAGCTGCTCAAGTGGAACTTATGTTTTTAGGTCAGGTAAATAACTAGACCACTCTAAAATTCTTCTCTTTGTCTGGAACCATTTTATTATTTTTACTGCAATATTCTTGAGATCATTATCTGAAAAAATAATCCAACCTTGCAGTAGTTTGATGGATTTTTTTTTTTACAGCTTATCAACCCATTTGCAAGTTATTTAAACCCAGAAAATATTTTTAGATTGTAAGAATTTATTGGTGGGGAAGATAACAGTTTAGTTTGCTAATTAACCCATAGCTGGGGAGAGAAGAGGTGGATTCATACCTTTCACAATGGCATTTGCATATAAGTGAAT